GTAAACATCTTGCATTTGTGGACCTCCACAGTGAAGAAGAAGAGCTTTCTTTTGCGCTGCGTTTTTTACTCCTTTTCCAACGATGAATAATTCAAATGATCGCTTCCATTTCTTCCATCGTGCTCCAACAGTTGTAGGATTCCCGTGAAGATCGAAGCTAGATATTCCACCTAAATCAGTGATAATTGCGGCAGCCATTCTCAAACTACAATATAGATCCTTCAATCAGTGGTTTTCCTCGTCGCCAGTTGTAGTATCCCGCCCGGATGGTTCGGATCTAACCAATAACACTCGGATTAAACCAACGCACATTAACTTAACAGTTTAATGGCGGACAACGTGTTCTCACAACAACTCTCGCACGCATGCGCCAATGGGTAATACACTACAACCAGAAGTTTTATGACTGCTTTGATTCTGGTAAAGACGCTTGCTCTTGCAATATTGTGGCCTGCCTGTCACGCAATCCTTACTTGAACATTTCGAGACAGCGAAGGGCAGTTCACGGCAGCGAATACACAAACAACATTTGGCGCTGATGCACGGTAAGTACAAAGTTATAAACAGCACTCAAATGAAAGTGTAAATATGGCAAAAATATTTATTTAACGGTTTGTATCCGTCCTCGGCCGCTTCGAACTGGACGATGTTACATTTTACACATGTTACACATTTAGGCTTGCTTTGTTTCGAAAATAACCGATAAAATTTTAAATCTCAGTCAACCTCAGTAGCGGAAACGACAAATATTGGTCAAAGTTGACTTCAGTTTATTCAGATTGGTAACGATATTTCGATCCCAAAGCGGCCTCTTGTCTTTTCCACGTGAGCATTGTTGATTTTTCACCTCCAACTGCGTGGCAAGGAATGGCGCGTTTTTACCTCTAATAATAATAATAATAATAATAATAATAATAATAATAACACCTTAATTTAGACACGATAATTTTTAAAGCTGAACAGCTTGTGGGGTCTGTGTAAATGCAAATAAACTCTAAATTAAATAAATTAAACTGATGTTGGCTTTTGAGGAGAGGGGAAAACCGGAGTACCCGGAGAAAAACCTCTCGGAGCATAGTAGAAAACCAACAAGTTCGATTCTCGCCGGGTCCGAGAATCGAACCCGGGACACATTGGTGGAAGGCGAGCGCTCTCACCATTACGCCAACCCCTCCCAACCTCTGCGTCACTTTTGTTTGGGATCCTAAAAAAATCATAGTTTGTAGCCCAAAAATCTTATTGGACCTATTTGAAAAAGAAACCTTGTTCTTTCGCTGGATTAACTTGATATAACCCCATGCCACGTACCAAGGTGCGATTTTACCCTCTCAACTTTGTAATTTTTTTGTCCGCCAAAATGAGTGAAATACTCTCCAAAAATTTAGATTGCAACGGAATCGAACAAAGAACACCCCAGACTGTTTGTAAATACTTGTTCTTTCCATTAGGAAAATATTTGGTCGCATTTTCTGTTTTTTTTTTTTTTTTTTATTTTCTAGCGACGTTTAAATAATGGTTGTCTAAACCTGAAGCTGACGTGAGAGCCACAAAACCGATTTTGCAGTCGTTCGCGAAAAATGAAAATGCAATTTAACTCAAACTACTCTTTTAGAAATAGTTCATCCACACCTATATTCTGGCAAAGTTTGGGGATTTTCGATTTTTTCATATTGCACACCTCCGGGCGATATTTACGGACGGCCGCTCTTAAAGTCGTTTGCGGGCAAACACTTTGATCCTTTTAATTGCTGCTTCCTCGCTCAACAAACAATAACCAGTCACGGATAAAACAACACCTAAAATTAAGATTAAACTAATTTAACTAACAATGAAAGTTACTTTACAAAAGATGCCACTTTAACAGGTTTAATTTGCTGGATAATCATTGCAAGTTGTAAGAGTAATAAAGAGTGCGTATGCGTAAATTTTACTGAACAACAAAACACTGAGAATATTGTATCGGCACCATATCATTCCTGGCTTTCTTACACACAAACAATACGTTGAAAATGCCTACCTCATTCTAATCCAGCCTGATTGAGATCATTTCCACGTTTTTTTTTTTTTTTCGCTGAAACATCTTCGACTACACAGAAGTCGCCATTGACTTGGTTATCTTTTGTGTAAGCGCCCAGAATTGAAGCGTACGTATAGCGTGTATCAATAAAAGATAATTTTAAGACGCTCTTTCATTGCACACCCTACACCTTTCTCGTAAAAGAAAGGCCTATACGATATCTTTACATATTCACGTATATTAGCCTTTCTAGTTTCGAAAGTATATTTAAAATCCAAATAAATCTCACTCCAAAGCGCAGTCAAGAAGGCTTATCTGCTATTATACAGCTGTTTAGAGAAAGGCTGTCAGAAAAAAGGACAAAGTACAAGGGACAAATTAATGATCTGAGCGTCCAGTGATATTAATCCAATAAGCACTAGTGTCCATAATCGGTCGATATTGTCTAAGATCGGAGACTAGCGTCTAAAATCGGACACATATGTCTAAAATCGGACGCTAGCATCTAAAATCGGACACTGGTGCCTAAAATCGTATATTAATATCTGTTACGGTAACTGATTACCGGCGGAAAGATAATAACCTCGCTATTTCCACGAAACACAATTTATTCAACTGTAAACAACGGGAGATAACCTAACAAGAGCTAGCGACTACTCTTGGAACACTCCAACTAAAATTAACTATGTACTTTTCTACGCTTATCTGACCACAAGCAAAGTACTGTCCTTCTGTTTGGCGAAATCTCCTGAAAACTTCCTTCGACGTATCGCACTCCACGGTAAACAGCTCTGGACTTGACAGCAGAATGTCAGTATCACATCCGAACGGGAAAATCCCTTCACTTGTCACTTGTCACACAATATCGCTTGTAGATCACAAACAGGGAACGAAGTCCCAAATCACAACGACAACCTGACTAGCGGGCTGCTTAAATAAGCATCCGAAGAGAGTCTAGAAGTTTCCAAGAGTAACTATTTACAACCATTACAATAGTAACTATTTATCACTATTACAGCAAACTCTATTTTTAAACTGATGAGTCACAGTTCTAGAAAATTCTCGAAACAGCACATTGCGTGACATTGACCTTCGCGAACTTCCCAGACAATTCCGATCCTTGTAAGATATCTTATGACTAAAATCAAACAAGAATGACTATAATCGGAAGTAAGTGTCCAAAATCAATCACATGTTGCTGAAACCAGACAGTAGTGTCTAGAATCGGATGCTAGTGTCTAAAATCAGGCAACAAAGTCCAAAATCGGACTGTCCAATATCGGACTTCATTGTCTAAAACCTGTTCAAACCAGTCACTTTTATCTAAATTTGGCAATTGTGTATAAAATCGAGCACTAGGACTTTTCGCCACGAAGCCTGAACTTTATGTATCTGGAGTACTGCCTATCGGCTTTTTCGATCATTTAGCTATATTTGGAATAAGGAAACTTCACAGCTCAGCAACCTTGCTTCAGCCACATAATAGGTTCTTTACATCAGTTGCAAGGAACTTAGGGAGTGCTCTTAAAGAATCTATTCGCTGCAAGAAGTCTGTGCCAGTTTTGTACGCCACGAACAGTCAAAGCCGAAAAAATCAAACGCTACCGGGTTCGACATTGTCGGCAAGACTCCTCAAAGACGCCTCCTCCGTGTTCAGGCAAAGCCAGTCAATTATCTCATTTACCTTAAGATTTTCACCTCAGTGGAAAGAGGCGAAACTCACTAGCTCCCATTTTTAAGAATGGAAGAAAAGAAAACGAAAACAACCATCGCCCAATTTCGGTCTTCCCCCTTGTTTCCAAAGTCATGAAGCGTGCGATTCAAGTTCAACTACAGGCTTTTCTAAGAGCATCCTACTGAAACCGCTGTAGTCTTTTTGGTTTACCATACATTAGAGCATGCGCACATGAACAGACAACAGCTGCCTGGTGCTGCCTTCATTTACCTATAAGGGGCCTTCTGTCTTGTCAACCATCAATGTTCATTGGCAAGCTAGAGCACTATGTAGAGTAAGAGGAAGCAGCATCGATTGGTTCCAAAATTACCTCACAATTTGTACACAGAGAGTACAGTATGGAAAAAATTGTCATCCAGCCTTCCCTCAAGAATTCGGGGTTTCATAAGGATCCTTACTATTTCCTTTCCTTTAGTATTTGTGATATATATAACAAATCTGCTCCCGTGTCTACTGCACTCCGGGATAAATATGTATGCTGACGACATAGTGATCTATTATACGGGGTCCGAGATCGGCACAATCAGAAAATGTCTCCAAGAAGATCTTAAACGAGCCGAGAAATCGTTGTTGACTAGTCAGGTTGATATTAAATTAGAGCAAAACCAAAGGAATGTTTTTTAGAACAAGACAACTATTGCAAAATAAACTGGACCGTTCCGCAGATTTTTAGTTTCTCAGGCTCAGTCCTTTTTCATATGTTTGTATCTTCGAAGCTGGATTACTGTAATTCCCTTTTGTATGGCCTACCAGCCTACACTATAAAAAAGCTACAACACATCCAGAATGCCGCGGCGCGCCTCGTCACACTTACAAAAAAAGCATGATCACATTACGCCTGTTCTTTTTAATCTTCATTGGCTTTCCGTTAATCAACATATTATTTTTAAGATTTTACTCATAACCTACAAGGTACTTAACAACTTGGCACCGTCGTACATTTGTGATTTGCTTACATCTTACACCCCATCGCGTCAACTACGCTCATCATCCAAGCACCTTCTGGTTTCTCCATCCGTAATAACCAAGTACCTGAAGGCTGTTGCATCTGGGAAGCCGAGCTCTTGGAGGTCTTTATTAAAGTAAAGTTTTTCAAGTAGCCCAAAGATAAAAATTAAGTTGCTGAAAGCACACATGATCTGCTAGAGCACAGTCTTGCTTCAAGCCAAAGAAAACATCATAATAAATTATCCTAGTCCCTATGTGTTGCATAAGTGAATTGAAAGTTTGAAATTGTTATGATTAAAA